ACCTGTTATTTATGAGCAATGTTTTATGGTCAAACATCCTCCTTGACCAGTTCAATCTGAGTGTCCAGGATGGAAGAACAGGACCAGCACTGCTTCCCTGGCTGCAAGCAGCTCCACAGGAACTCAGGATAAATCCAGTGCACTCAACCTCCCCCCGCCCCCAGCTCAGCAGAATTATAAAGAAATGGCTTTTAAAGCAACTATTTTAAATATTATTGCACTGTCAAAAATAATACTATGTGGGCTTGAAAACCAAGGGGAAACAAACATTAATTTAACATGTTACAACAAAGGGAAAGGAACTCTGGAGGCAGAAAAACTCCTCAGTACCAGGCCTGGTAACAGGCAGACAGAGAGCAACACAAATCCAAGGTAACTGTGGTCAGAGGACAACCCAAAACAGTCTAAATTAGCTAAAAATCGATTTTAATTCTATTTTAAATAAAGGTTCTAACTCACAGCGTTGGGTTCTATCCCTCTGCCCCAATTCTCACCGAGTTCTGGGCTGTCACACAGTGACACTGTGGTTAATCCCAGGGATGACCTTCGGCCTCAGCAGGACCCGGGTTTGGGATGAGCCCTGGGCCTTGAACTCACTGCACTGGTGCTAAAGGCAAAACTGTGTGAAGAACCCGAGCTGGGATCTCCCTGTTTGTGAGAATGGGAACAACAAACAGATGTGAAATAAAACCCCACTGCAGTACCCAGGGAGGAGCTCGCTGTGTGATCTGGGACAGCTCCACAGGCACAGGGGGATGGAGCAGAGAAGGAACTGGAACAACCCAAATGTGTTTTATGCACTGAAACCAGGAACAGCCCCCTTGCCAACCCCACATTTAGCACCATTTGTAGATGGGAACACTCTGAGGAAGCAGATCATACATTCTTTAAAAAAGGAGGTCCCAGGGAACACGGACACGGGTGAGCTCGGGGGGGAGGAGGGGACGGGCTGGGCTCCAGGGATTGTTGTGCATCATGCTGGGAATGCTGCTGCTGGGATTCTTCCTTGCATTCCAACCAAAAACACGCAGCAAGATGAAGTCAGACCATCTAGCAGTCGTTTCTCCACAGAAAGAAAACGGGAGGGAAAGTTAAAAATGCAATTTCTCGTCATCAGACCCAAAAACGCCGTGAAGAGGCAAGAAACTTGCCCTGTAAATGTCCCTAAGGAGTTCCTAATGATCCTCCCAGCCCTCCTACCAGCGAGCAGGTAACAAAGGAGAGTGTACAGGCAACATCCTATGGCATTTATTATTTACAAACCTTGAGATACAGAAACAAGGCAGCCCTTGAGTTACTGGTCATAAAAAACCCATGAAGCACTGGTGCTTCCTCCGTGTGCAGCCACAGCCAGGCACCACTCAGCAAACCCTGCACTCACACACACACTCACACAGCTCTCACCCCAAGCACAGTAAACTTCATATTCCAGAGGAGGCAGGAGGAAGAGAGGAAAGCTCTAGAAAGGGTTAGATGGACAAGTTTCCAACCGGATCCCAGGCGTGGACAGTACTCCCTAAACCCCACTGCCGCGGGCAGGGGGCCAGCTAAAGCCAGCTGGTGAAGCAGCTTTCCATCCCTTTGCTGCTGAAAAACAAAGGCCAATTATGGGAAGAAAACAAATCCTCATTTTAATCCCAACCTCGGCAGGTTCCTCAGCTGGCAGCTCCGGGCCCCGCAGCACGGATCGTTTCCAAGGATCGTTTCCAAGCAGCTCCGGCTCCCTTGGCCCCGGTGAGGTGGGCGGGTCCTGCCCTCCATCAAAGCGCAGCCAGGCCGAAGTTGCAGCGGCAGTACATCATCCCTGCAGAGTCCAGCCACGTGTCCGAGATGGGCTCGTACCTCTGCACCGTGTTCAGGTAGGAGGAGCCCGAGTGCCCCCCCACCACGTACAGGCAGTTATCGATCACCGCCGCCCCGACCCCTGCGGGGGGAAACGCTGTGAGACAGGGCTGGCATGGGCACCTCTGCCCCTGAGACAGGGCTGGCATGGGCACCTCTGCCCCTGAGACAGGGTTGGCATGGGCACCACTCAGTCAGGGCTGGGATGGGCACCTCTGCTCCTGAGACAGGGCTGGGATGGGCACCTCTGCTCCTGAGACAGGGTTGGCATGGGCACCTCTGCCCCTGAGACAGGGCTGGCATGGGCACCTCTGCTCCTAGCTGCAACCACCCTCCCTCCACCTCAACAAGGGGGTCCCCACAGCCTCCTCTCTGGGGTGTCCCTAAAGAAAATGGGTGTCAGGGAAGAGCCCTTTCTGCCCAGGTCAGACACTCCTTTTTTACTGCTCTCATGCCCTTTCCTGTGATAAAACAATGTTCTCCTGTCCCCACAACACCTTGGCAGGGAGGCAGAAGAGACTGGAGAACAGAACTATGGAATACCCTGAGTGGGAAGGGACCCCCAAGGACCATCCAGTCCCACCCCTGGCCCTGCCCAGGACACCCCAACAATCCCCCCCTGTGCCCCAGAGCGTTGTCCAAACCCTCCTGGAGCTCTGGCAGCCTTGGGGAGCCTGGGCAGTGCCAACCACCCTCTGGGGGAAGAACCTTGTCCTGAGATCCAACCTGACCCTGCCCTGGCACAGCTCCAGCTGCTCCCTGGGTCCTGTCCCTGCTCACAGGGAGCAGAGATTGAGCTGCCCCTTGGGAGGAGCTGCAGCTGCACCACAGCAATACACCCCTGAGTGTCCACATCAAACACAGCAGGACAGTGACCACAGAACTGCTGAAACAGCCTCAAAATCAGTGCAGATGCAGGAGGTAGAATAGAAATATTACTCCATGTTTTTTTTTCTACAGCTCAGTATTAATAAGCTGGATTTAGAGGTAAATAAAGATTCTTTCCCAGAGCTGACTAAGTGACCTGCACCCCCAGATGAAGTGCAATGCTCTGCAGACTAACTGCAGGTTCTATCAGCTCAGACAGGTCATCCCTGACAGGACCCCTGAGTTCCCCCTGCATGTCCCACCTGTCCTGGGCTCCTTCATGGGCCGGCACACCGTCCACTGGTTCTGGTGGGGGTCGTATCTCTCGATGCTGGACAGGTGGGACACCCCGTTGTGTCCCCCCACCACGAAGATGAAGCCCAGCATGACACCCACGCCGAAGTTGATCCTCTTGTCAGCCATGGAGGCCACTGTCTCCCAGGAGTTCTTGCTTGGATCGTAGCGCTCCATGCTGCAGGGACAAACACAGCCTCTGTCATGGGCACAGCCAGTCCTGCCCAGCACAGGAACAGTGAAACACAAAGGCAAGTGCTGGAGCTGATGGCAAATCCCCTGGTGCAGTTGCTTTGCAGCACCAACAGACTGTGTGTTACCACCTTGGAAGCACCAATCCTGTCCCAGGGTCCTTCCACAACCAAAGCGGGTGGAGGGTCCCAACAGGGTTGCCAAAAAACAGTTTTACCATATTTTTATAACATTTTCAGTCTAAGTTTGGACTCCATGATCTCAGAGGCCTTTTCCCACCTCAACAATTCTGTGATGTTTCCCCCTGACACAGTGACTGCAGCTCAGCCTCTCTGATGTCCTCGTGCCCCTACCCTGGGCCTTCAGGTCACACCCTGAAACCACCCAAGCTCCCTCAGAGGTGAAAGCTCTTTCCAGGATGTCTGGTGCTAATTTTTTAAAAAATCAACTAATGGAAAACTGAACACAATGCAGATCCACAATGCATCTATTTGGGTAACACAGCAAATCAAAAACTTCCTTGAGGTTTGCCTGAAAATAACATTCAGAGAGGAAAGCAGAGAGTGTATTTATATTCCTCAGGAAAAGCAGTAAAGAGGCTGCTGATCGAACACTGAGGGTAGTAGAGGGATTGAATGGAAATGAATTGTCATCATTATTAATTTTTGTGATCACTGGAGCTATACAGATGGTCAGTCATTAACACACTTGTGGCACTGAGCTGTTCCCTGTCCAAGTGCAGCTCCAGGAGCACAAAAAAAGGGGGGGAGAAGATCAGCAGCAGCACAGAGTTGGGAGAAAAGGTGGTTAATTACCCAGTACTGAGCTTGGTTTAATGCCAGAGCTTGTAGGAGCCTGCATGGCAAGGTGTAGGATTCACTCCTTGAATAACTAACCCAAATTATTCACAGAATCATGGAATACCCTGAGTTGGAAGGGACCCACAAGGCCCATCCAGTCCAACTCCTGACCCTGCACAGGAACATCCCCAAGGGTCACACCCTGTTCCCCAGAGGATCATCCAAACCCTCCTGGAGCTCTGGCAGCCTTGGGGCTGTGCCCACTGCCCTGGGGAGCCTGGGCAGTGCCAACCACCCTCTGGGGGAAGAACCTTGTCCTGAGATCCAACCTGACCCTGCCCTGGCACAGCTCCAGCCGTGGCACTCGGTGCTCTGCTGTGGAGCACTGGGCACCTTCCCAAGGATTTCCAAAAGAACCCAACCCCCCGAGTGAGTTAAACCACGCCTTCCCAGCTGAACCACGAGGCTGACACAGCGCAGGGAGGGTTTATGAGGCCCACAGGGTACCGAGGCTGGTTTAAGTGGAGCTGGCAGGGCTGTCCCAGGAGCAGGTACCTGTTCATGTGGGCGGGCCCGTAGCCCCCGATGGCGTAGATCATCCCGTCCAGCACGGCCGCCGCGAAGCAGCTCCGCGTCTTCGTCATGGGGGCCACCAGCTGCCACTCCTTCACCTTGGGCAGGTACTTCTCCACCGTGCGCAGGTAGGACTGCCCGTCGTAGCCGCCCAGGGCGTAGAGCTCCCCGGCCAGCACCACCACGGCCAGCGTGCTGCGGCTCTCGAACATGCGCTCCAGCGAGCTCCACGTGTTGGTGTCGGGGTCCCAGCACTCCACCGAGCTCTCGTGCTTCCTGTAGCTGATGCCCTGGCACACGTGCGTGGCGATCCCGCCCACCACGTAGAGCTTCTGCTCCAGGGCGCAGATCCCGAACTCGTAGCGCGGGATGCTCAGCGGGGCCAGGCCGATCCACGAGTCGTTCTGCGGGAAGTACATCTCCATGCTGGAACGGGAACACAGGGATCAGGTGGGAAAACCTAACTGGAGTCGGTCTGGAGAAGTACATCTCCATGCTGGAACGGGAACACAGGGATCAGGTGGGAAAACCTAATTGGAGTCGTTCTGGAGAAGTACATCTCCATGCTGGAAAACAGGGATCAGGTGGGAAAACCTAATTGGAGTCGTTCTGGAGAAGTACATCTCCATACTGGAAAACAGGGATCATTTGAGAAAACCCAAGTAGATCATTCTGGAGAAGTACATCTCCATGCTGGGACAGGAAAACAGGGATCATTTGAGAAAATCCAACTAGATTGTCCTGGGGGAAATACATCTCCATGCTGGAAAACAGGGATCACATGAGAAAACCCAACTAGCTAATTCTGGAGAAGCACATCTCCATGCTGGGACAGGAAAACACGGATCATGTGGGAAAACCCAAGTAGATTATTCTGGAGAAGCACATCTCCATGATAGAAAACGGATCATGTGAGAAAACCTGACTAGATCATTCTGGAGAAGCACATCTCCATGCTAGAAAACAGGGATCATGTGAGAAAACCCAACTAGATCGTTCTGGAGAAGTACATCTCCATGCTGGGACAGGAAAACAGGGATCAGGTGGGAAAACCTAATTGGAGTCATCCTGGGGGAAGTATATCTCCATGCTGGGACAGGAAAACAGGGATCACATGAGGAAACCTAACTGGAGTCGTCCTGGGGGAAGTACATCTCCATGCTGGGACAGGAAAACAGGGATCACGTGAGAAAACCGAACTAGACTGTCCTGGGGGAAATACATCTCCATGCTGAGACAGGAAAACAGGGATCAGGTGGGAAAACCTAATTGGAATCATCCTAGGGGAAGTATATCTTCATGCTGGGACAGGAAAACAGGGATCATTTGAGAAAATCCAACTAGGCTGTCCTGGGGGAAGTATATCTCCATACTGGAAAACAGGGATCAAGTGAGAAAACCTGACTAGATCATTCTGGAGAAGTACATCTCCATGCTGGGACAGGAAAACAGGGACCACAGGAGAAAACCTAACTGGAGTCATCCTGAGGGAAGTACATCTCCATGCTGGCATAGGAACACAGGGATCAGGTAAGAAAACCTAATTGGAGTCATCCTGGGGGAAGTACATCTCCATGCTGGAATGGGAAAACAGGGATCACATGAGAAAACCCAACTAAAAACCCAAGGGACGAGAAGGGTAAGTTTAAAGAAAAAAAAAAAAAAAGAACAGCCACCAAGATCAAAGAGAGAAGAGCAAATTAGAGAGGAGGAGACACGTTCTATATTTATGCACAAACATACACTTGGAAAGTATAATTTGCAGTTTTATAAACACATTTTACGTGCGCTCTATAATTTCAACAAAATGTCAGCGTAGAACAAAGTAACCTGAAAATCTGCCTTTAAAATGCATTTCCTTCTAATTATACTCAGAACACGGTGGCCTGAGCCTACTCGATATAAAGTCTAGTCAATCCACCTAAATAGTTTAATTAATAAATGACTTCAATAATTAAGAGGCTCTCCAGTAGAGAGGAAATGTGAACCATCCAGGAGCATGAGGTCCCTGGAGAGCTGACAGGCACTAAAAACCCAGAAGCAGGAGCTGCTGCTGAAACACCAGGCTGGTGTTAGAGAATGTAGACTAAATACATTCTCAGGAATTTTGTTATGAAGAAGCAAAAAAGAAATTAAAATAATCCAAATTACACTGCTAGGTAACACTGTTACAGTCACTGAAGGGGCTGGGAGAGAAGCAGAGCTGAAGAATATCAGAGGACAAATTTATTCACTCAAACAGATTTTTTTATGAAGCACAAAACCCCCTTTATTTTTTAAATCTATAAACCTAACATGTAGTTTAATGTTGGTCCCTATAAATTAACTGAAAAACCTTAAAAATGAAATAATTTCGACAATCTCTCTGAACACAGGGAAAAGGAACATATGGTTCTTCCCAGGTTTTTAAGAGTATATTCATATCAGCAAACGTGGAACTGTCATGGAAAAAGAGTATCTTGGAGTAAATGAACATCCCAGAATCCAGCTGGGGAACCAGTTCAGGCAGTCCCTGAGCACAGGGAACATTCATGGAGCTGATAAGGGCACTCAACATCAAAGCACTTTGTGTGTATGTATTTATGTATGTATGTATATTTGTATAAATGGATACAAGCAGACACACAGACAATTTAACTCCCAGTTCTGGAAATGTTAATGCCATGTTAAAGCAAACCCAGCCACACCAGTTTGGGGAAACAAAATTATTCTTCTCTCTGTTACAAATCCTTCTGCTCCCATACTGAGCCTCAGGGATCTCCCCAGTGATGGAACAGGAGGTTCCTTCTGGAATCCAGGGAAGAGAGGATGGGCACTTACCTGCTCCTGCCAGCACAGAGAGGGCACCTACAGACTGAAATCAGGATTGCATCGTGATCAAGAGCCCCTTCCCAGAATCCCTGAGGCTGGAAAAGCCCTCCCAGCCCATGGATCCCCCTGTGCCCGATGCCCACCTTGTCCCCCAGCCCAGAGCACTGAGTGCCACGGCCAGGCCTTCCTGGGACACCTCCAGGGCTGGGCACTCCAAACCTCCCTGGGCAGCCCCTGACAAGGCCTCACCACCCTTTCCAGGGAGAAATTCCTCCTCCTGTCCCACCTGAGCCTCCCCTGGCACAGCTGGAGGCCGTTCCCTCTCCTCCTGTCCCTTGTTCCCTGGGAGCAGAGCCCGACCCCCCCCAGTTACCCCCTCCTGTCAGGGGGTTGTGAGACCAGAAGGTCCCCCCTGAGCCTCCTTTTCTGCTCCTTTGCTCTCCTCTGAATAAGTCTGTTTAAATTCCAAGGATTTTTGAGTTATCAGGAAGCATATTAAGTTAATTTTTGTGATTTTTTTTGAATAATAATAAATCAGGGGAAAATCACGTAAAATGAAAATACCTGAAACGATAAAGAAGCAAGACACAAACTTCAATTAACCATGTTATTAACTCAATCAACAGAATGAAAATGATTCCACAGCTATGTGTGTTGGCACAAGCAAAACCCTGCAGCACTTCAGGTTACTCATGAAATACGAAAGCATTTTGAATTGTGCTTGTGCTTGTTAAAAAAACCAACCCTGCTTAAGAGTTCTCATGAAAGAAAGCAGCAACTACACCCTGCAAATAGGGGGGGACTTGAAGGTCTTTTCCAGCCGTGAGTGCTCTGAAATCACAGCTGTCCAAGGAGTGTGTTACCCTGACCTGGGGGGATCACAGTCACACACGGCCATCACCCCCTTGCCACTCCTCACCCTTCCAGGCAGGCAAAGAGCCCTGGGGTGATCCCAGACACCATGGCCATCCCTCCACATGGCCATTCCTTACCTTTCCAGGCAGACAAGGAGCCCTGGGGTGACCACAGACACCATGGCCACCCCTGCCTGTATCCCTTCCTTACCTTTCTAGGCAGACAAAGGGCCCCGGGGTGGTCCCAGACCCCATGGCCACCCCTCCCTGCATCCCTTCCTTACCTCTCCAGGCAGGCGAAGAGCCCGGCCTTGCCCCCCACGGCACAGAGCACTTTGGGGGCGCAGCGGGGCCGCGTCATCAGCATGGTCTGGTGGGACAGTCTGTGCTCGGGCATGAAGTGGTACTTGAGGGCCTCGTTGAGCAGGTGCTTGCAGGTGTGGTCGTCCCGGATGAGGTGGTTGGCCTCGTAGAGGCGCGTGAGGAACTTGACGCTGAGCAGGGGCAGGCGCACGCAGTGCAGCAGCTGCGCCAGGTGCTTCTGGCGCTCCTGCACGTCGTACTTGATCCAGGACTCCAGCGCGTAGAACACGCTCTCCTCCGTCACCACGTTGAGGCAGTCGTTGGACACGATCTCGTCCAGCTCGGCGTGCGTGAGCTCCAGGAACTCCTCGGTCTGGCACACGTCCTCGAAGTTCTGGCAGATGTACTTGTTGGCCGCCAGGTACAGGTCATGGCAGCCGTAGGTCTCGGCGAAGCGCGAGATGCCGATGCAGTTGCCGGGGTCCAGCTGGCTCTCCAGGAAGGCGCAGCACTCCTTGACCACCAGCTTCACCTGGAGCAGGTTGGCGGCGGGCAGCAGCGACTCCACGGTGTCCTGGGAGATGAAGACGGTGCCGGTGTAGGCGTACTCCACGATGGCCTGCAGCGCCGCCTCGGCCACGCACTGGAACTCCACCTCGGCGTTCTCCTTCTCCGACAGGTTCCCGGTGAACATGGCCTTGAAGTAGGGGCTGATGCTGGCCAGCACCACCTTGTGGGCGTGGATCTTGGCGTCGCCCACGCGCAGCACGACGTCGCAGAGCTCGCGGTGCTGCCGCAGCACGTTGAGGCCCTGCAGGAGCTGCTCCGAGTGCAGCGGGGTCAGCTTGGCCAGCAGGTACGGCGGGGACGACGGGTCCATCTGAGCGGGACACAGGGACGGTCACTGGGGCTCCACCCACACACACACGTGCCACATGTAACATTTAACAAGCACTGCCATTTCTGCTTTTATCTGACCAGCTTTATTGATCCCCAGCTCGCCTTTTCAACCCTCACGTGCCATGCTGTCTCACGCGAGTTAAATCCAGGACCTGAACAGCCTGTGCCAGATCCATCTCCACATCAAAAACACAACTCAACCATCACTGTTTTTGTTATGGAGTAAAATGCCTGTTATCTGATGCATGGACTACGTGACAGGATTCTACTGGGGCAGCCTCAGTTTTGGGTACTACAATATCAGAAAGATCTAAAGCTGCTGGAGGGTGTCCAAAGGAGGGACATGAGGACAGTGAAGAGCTTGGAGGGGCCATACAAGGAGCAGCTGAGGGCACTTGGGTTGTTCAGCTGGAGAACAGGAGATTGAGGGCAGAGCTCAGCGGGGGCTGCAGCTCCTCCTGAGGGGCAGCTCAATCTCTGCTCCCTGTGAGCAGGGACAGGACCCAGGGAATGGCCTGGAATTGTGCCAGGACAGGGTCAGGTTGGATCTCAAGGAAAGGTTCTTCCCCCAGAGGGTGGTTGGCACTGCCCAGGCTCCCCAGGGCAGTGGGCACGGCCCCAAGGCTGCCAGAGCTCCAGGAGGGTTTGGACAATGCTCTGAGGGACAGGGGGGGATTGTTGGGGTGTCCTGGGCAGGGTCAGGGGTTGGACTGGATGGTCCTTGGGGGTCCCTTCCAGCTCAGGACATTCCATGGCTCTACATCAGGGATTTGAGAGAACTGAACAGTGATCAAAATAAAAATAAAGAGATAACTGAAGAATAGAACTGGCTTAATTTAGACCAAGTTTTAAAACTTCTAAAACTCCTTTGTGCAGCCCAACTCCTGCCTGCTCAGTGCTCCTGGGGAGCAGCCCAGCCCTGCTGTGCCCCCCTCTCCCAGGCTGTGGCAGGACTCTCCCTCTCAGGGGCCAGCTCTCCATTCCCATTCCATGCCTTCCCTCTGCAAACCAGCCCCACAGAGCCAGGGGGGCAGGAAAAGCAGGAGCAGAGGCTCCTGTGTCCTGGATGCATGGAGCTCAGGAGAGCCTCACCTCACCTCATGGCTTCCACTGCCACAAAATCCCTGTGGAAGTGGCAGAGAGCAGAGCTGGGGAACACTGGGAGCTGGGGAACACTGGGAGCTGGGGAACA